AAGAGGTTTGTAGCTTGCACGAACGTGGTTCTCGCCCCTTTTTTTTCTTTCCTGCCTAGCCACGTAACCCCAGACCCAACTTAAAAAATCTTCTCGATCAGTTAAAGTTGTACATACCATGCAGCTACTAACTAAAGATGACCCAATTATAACACCCCAATGATGCGCGTGACACAAACCTCTTGACAGAAGTTTTTGAAATTCGAAAACTTGTTCTAAACGGACAGACGTACATACCCCACTCCCTTGGTTCCCGAATCCCAGCGGGTGAGGAGGATCTCGTTCTGTTGCCTACTGGTTCATTAAAAACTCAAGATCTGGTTGTAGTGAGAATGCATATGAATTTTTTTTCTCTGCTTGCATCTCGACGAGTTACAGATCACTCATCGTTTGAAAGTTGTTCATCATTGAAAAAAACGCTCGGATTATTGCGGGATCTCATTTTGGAATTTTTTTCTTGTGGAACATAAACTAATGGAATCACTGGTAGGAAAAGCCATCAAACCACAAGTGACAATGAATACAGTATCCCGATCAGTTTTCAAAGTGCGGAGTCAGCGCCGGCTGGTCACATAACGTCAACACGTGTTGGAGGGGGGTGAGTAGTGCTTCTTTTTATGTCTCTCTTCTTCGTTCTTGTGTAGAACAGACAGTTTTGATGTTCAATTTTTCGTTCAAGTCAGTACATGTGCCATTGACCATGCTGGAAGCATAGGTACAAGGCACGTCTAAATTATATGGCGGAGGGTAACATTGCGGTAACGAGCTCTCTAGCTCATCTTTCAGCATCACTGCTTCTCGTGTGCTGTGTACCCCCACACTCAGCTGCACCCAACGCCTGCCGCCGGGCCAAGATGGGTGAATATTTAAAACTCAGGCTTCCATCCAGATTGGGATACCAAAAAAAAAGACGTTGCAAGGATTTGAACACGCCGCAATACGGCAACTGCCTATTGTGGGGATCTGTGATAGATACATCATGGGTCGAGGTGTGTTACTCGGCAATCCATCACTAAGCTCTGTAGAGTAAAATGCTGATACCTGGGAATGCTTCCCGGTGCGCACGCGGCATGTGGCACAACCCAACATCGGATCCAGGTAGATGAGTGAATTGCTTGTCTTTAGTGACCTCGTTTGTAGCCATTTCGGAAGCTTTTCTCGTGGCTGTTTTGCGAGGGTGTTTCTGCAGGATTAAAGTATCTTCGATACTGACATGTAGTATTTCCTGCGCACAAACGTTTATCTACGCAAATAGTCAGCAGCGAAGGGTGTGTAGGGTGTCTTGGTTCCGGGGGGGACTGGAACAGAAAACCGGAGACGAATGGTGAATCGTCTCATTCCCTTACGGGAAAATGCTCAAAACCACATGGCTTTGCTTTTTTTATGTGGGGGGTGGATGACTAACCGTGCGTGTAACTTGGCTACTCGAAGGACCACGCATGATAAGAACTTGCAAAGACTAAATAATCCCAAACCTACCATCATCAAAGGGAATCCTCGTACCATCACTGTTTGCCTAGCAGTACAATTTGAACTCTATCATGACTCTAAACTCGGTTGTTGCTCTCTCGCCAACGTCGTCGACGTCCTCCTCAGCTACCGGTTCCGGAGGTAGTGCCGTCGTCAATGCATCGCGTCTACGGGAAAACCAGCGGCGTAGCAGAGCCAGGAAGAAGGAGTACCTGGTATCCCTAGAAGCGCGTTTCCAGGCATGTCAGAGGACTGGAATAGAGGCAAACGTCGAGATTCAGGTCGCAGCAAAGAAAGTTGTTCGAGAAAACAAACTGCTGCGAGCTATGCTGAACAGACGTGGAGTGACTGATGCTGAAATCAATAAAACGTTAAAAGAAGGGGGAGAGGGATCAGATGAAGGAGAAAGAGAGACGGCTGTAGACGCGGTTTTAAAGGTGCTAGGGAAACGACCTTGCGGTGGTGAGCCAACAACAGGAGGGGCCGCCATGCAATGCAAGCCCTTTAGATCTTGTGAGGGGCAGCAAAGAACTGCAAACGAGCGACGCAACTCCACCGGAATGGTTGCTACGAGAGGTGCGGAACGGGGAGGAGGACGAGGAGCCGTAAATGGAGGAGCCCCTGCGCTAGCTGTTGCAACATCAAAAGTATGCTTTTTTTCTTTTCTTTTCTTGACTGATCAAAGCCTGAATATCCATACGCTACACTCCTACCTACCTATGCGCTCTCATCGTACATTATATAAATGGTGAGGAGTAAAGGTTGTGGTGGTGGTAAGTGGTAGGCATGGGTAAGAGTGGTGGGGGGATGAGGAGGTGTGTGAAGTTGAAGTTGGAGTTGGAGGAGCCCTACCTTTTTTTTATATATCGTGTGTCATTCGATTTGATTTTTATATATGAAAATTAACGTCTCTCCCCAATACAGCTTTCTCCCCCGCCTTCACAGCCGCCACACCAACATGCGCCCTCCAATTACCCCACGCCTACGTCTACGCCAACAACCGCCTCCGTTTCAAAGTATCCAATCCCAACATCCGTTCCTCAACTAAACGATTTCTACAATTACAACATCTCTTCCACGCAACCACAGTCCTCGTATATGACTTCTCCAACAATCTCATCACCCTCCCCGCCATCCTACAACTCATACCAAATGACTCCCACCACTCCTACCCTCACTAACAATCCTTCTTGCTGCCCCCAACCTCAAAACTCATTCTACCCTACTTCACAACCCCAGTGCGCCCCACTAAGGATGATCCCATCTTCCATGCCTGCTTGCTGCCCTCCACAGCGCGCTTTATATGCCACCGCAATGCCTTCTACATCTTGCTCTTCCTCCTACCAAGCAGCATCTATCGCATCTACCACTCCGTGTCACCTTGCACAGTCATTCATCAACCAATTGCATCCCGGCCTGCCAGGCGAGAACGCTAGCAGTTTGATCGATGAGATCTGCCCATCTGGCATGATGCAGGGTGGTCAGTGCCATGTCGACAACGCCGTACTCTTTGGAGTACTGGACCGAATCTGACTATATATTGATCCAGCCGCCGAGTTTTGCTTTTGCTATCGTTGTTTGAATGTGCTTTTGTTTCCCTATCCTTTTTTGTCCTGCATCATCATTTTTGCTGTTTTTGCTTTTGTTTTGTTTTCAAGCATTATACCACTACTGTTCTCATTTGTTCCTCCCCGTGTATATAATAACTTGCATTGTTTCCAACCGCGGGGAGCCGAGGGGAAGGAGCTGCTGCTGCTAGTAGTACTTAGTACATACGAGTGTATGGGTTATGTGTATATGTATATAGATATTACCGCGCACGCAGCTGGTGAGGGGAGAAAAGGAAGAGGAGCAAGCAGAGGAGGAGGAGGAGGAGGAGGAGGAGGAGGAGGAGGAGGCGAGCATAACCGGCGGGCCTACTATTCAGCAGGCTCGCCGGCTGACAAAAATAAAACAATAAGAAATCAACTTTCTAACCAATCTAGTTCAACAGCATTGTTCAAACCGCATCATCAAAGCCAAACACATCAGATCGCAGCTAGCCAGGGAGTGTTTCGTTACCTAAGAGGTGCCCGTCTCCAGGCCCTCCATTGGACCCATTTACCGAACGAGCGCGAGAGAGAGCCCTGCAGCTGTCAAACATATTGTAAGGAAAAGCAATTCCCCAACCAAGAAAAAAAAAGCGAGCGGCCGACTCCGCCCGGCCCGACCCGCTGGGTCCCAAAAAGAAAAAAAGAATGAAAAAAACTCCCGATACATGGCGCATGGATAACTAGTGGAGGAACGAGCAAGATTGAGCCACTATTTCTTTTCTCCGATTTGCGGGGGATATGTATATGTATGGGGTCAATGATCATTATGCAAGATGGAGATTCACCCCGCCCACCCTATCAAATCCTCTAGCGTGAGCACGATGACCCGGCAACTGGACAAAACGCGGTTTCCATTCCACGTGCGAAAACCCCTGTAAACTTTATTCTGCCGAACTGCTGGGGAACCTTGATCTGACTTCGAGGTGCAATGTTGGTTTGGTCGTGGACCCTCTGTATTGCGTTAGATTATGTATGGCTGGCGGTCTACGGGATATTACGGGATACAGGATATGGGATACTACTTACTCGAGCGGTATCAGATATACTGACCTACGCATCATAGGTGCTCACTGTGTATATGCGAGTGACGGGACATGAAGTGAAAGGCCTATATACTCGTATCGATTGACTGATTGATTATTTGATAGATCTATGTCTTCCCCCGGGCTATGGCATGACCCATTGAGGAACTGGCAAAATTGTTATAAAAGTAACCCCAAACGCAGTTTTATTATATTATCGAGAGCTAGTTTTCCTAGAGTTCGGCGTTGTTCGAAGTCCTAGCATTTGAATGTCATAGCCGGAGGCTACATACATGTAGTGAGTAAATCAATCTATCAATTAAGCGCTAACTCTCAATACCCGACTGGTTATGTATGTCGAGTGATATATGGTGATTCTGGTCAGGACAGCATACGTGTGTCAGCTAGTTACGTATACCATAACTGTGGACTTATGACAAGGAATAGGTGGCATGATAACCTGTCCTTAATCAAGTCGTATAAAGCTAGGAATTCTAGTAGTCCTGTTAATACAGTATCATCCATCTTCCTCCTCCTCCAATAGCTTGCAGGTCTCGCCATAGCCATTGGAACACACAAAGTCTTACAGTTCGGAATCGACGTGGGTAACGACAATCTTCAATAATCTTCGGACTGTGTCCATAGATACATATCCAGAGGGGACGTAAACCTGGAGAATTAATTGCCGTTCTTCTGAACCGCGCAGGCAGATATCTCACTTCCCAGTGTTTGTAGTAATTCTAGGAGTTGAATAAGAAGCCCGAGGCTCTGAACTTATTAATAGTAGATTTGACTACATTGATTTTTATTCCTAACTAATCGTTACAAAATAGCTACTATACACTACTCAACCAACACTCAAATATATACTACGAAATAAAATAAAAAAATCACTCCATTACACCGCTTTCACCCTCTAAAAGTTCTGATTCCCATACCCCCTCTCACCATACCCTCTCTCCCCCGCTGCTGCCCTCGGCAGGCTCGGATCAAACCTCCCACCATTCCCTGCGCCTGCGCCCGTTCCCATCCCTGGGCCCAACTCACTAACCGGCGCCCTACCCCCTGCAACCGTCGTCGGCTCCCCCCTAAACCCCGGAGCATCATACCCCGCCGTCGTCCCCGTCATCGCAGTCTCCTCACTCTCCCTGGCACCCTTGCCATACCCACCCCTTGGCCCGAACGCGCGCTGCTTTTGGTATGCGCGAAGCGCCAAGTACGATAGCACCATTGTCAGTGCGAAGAGGACGGCCAGGGCGATTGAGAAGGCGAATGAGGTTTTTGTTAGGTTACAGAGGAGGCGGGGTGATGCTCTCGTCCTAGCCGCTGTTGTTATTGTGGAGGTGGAGGTAGAGGTGGAGGAGGAAGAGGAGCGGAAGAAGGCGGCGGGGAGGTTGTTAGTTCCCTTTGATACAGCCGGAGACCAGGTTACGGAGCGACAAGACTGGTGGGCGGAGCCGCGGAGTAGGACACTTATTGCGATGAAGCCGCCCATGAGCAAGAGGTCGAAGGCGGTGATGAGGACGAAGAGCTTTTTGTGGCCGAAGCAGGTGGTGAGGAGTGTGAGGAGGGCGAAGAGGACGCCAACGCAGGACTGTGTTTGCTTGTTAGCTTTTTTTATTTTCTGGTTATGTTTTTTTTTTTTTGAGGGGGGGGATGGGAGATTTTTTGGGGTAGGTGGAGGGGGGAAGGAAACGAGTGACGTACGATGACTTCAACGGCATATAAGGCGTGCGGAAGCTGGCCGGAGCGGCCGTTGGTGAGGCGGAGATGGTTGCGTGAGAACTGGTAGACGTTGAAGCTGGCGACGCCGACGATGAAGAGGGCTAATATGAGCTGCAGTACACGCAGGAGCATTGACAGCGTTTTGAGGAGGCGGGGACCCATTTTTGCGGTTGGGCTATATTGTTCAATCGGTGGTGATGGTGGTAATGGTGGTGGCAGTGGATTGGTATATAAGTATTAATATTTCCCCCAGCGCTTTGTCAAACACAAGTGAACAAAGAGAGCCCGTCCGATCAGAACAAAGATATCTATCTGGATGAATGGTTTCCCTCCAAACCGAGGAAAACACCCCAGTTCTTAAACGAAAAAGCCATTCGCTGATTACGTCGACCGCATTTCAAGATTTCCCATATTCCTGCACAGTGAGTGGTGTTAGCTGATGATTGACCATGGTTGCTTTAGGAAGAGGGTTTTTTCCCACTTCTTTCATGATCAGGGAACTCTGAACTGTTGCTGCAGGTAGCCGTCATGGGGCGTCATGATCGCCGCTTGCAGGGGTTCGGAGGGTGTGGGTTAGGGTTGCGTGGGCATTGTCTGATGTCCGCAGCTGCTCAGAGGAGTGTTGGCAGACATCAGAGCTTGGGTGTGTGTGTGTATGGTGCCTTGCTACCGCCGCGCAGTGAGCACGGGGGAGTGCTCTAGGGACTGCTGCTATGTACTCGGCAGCTTGGTAGCGGCAGGCACTAGCTAGGTAGCAGTACATGTATGTAGTACTACTACTGCACCCTGGGCTAGAGTGCGGGACGAGTGACGTTGCCCAAGCTCTCGTTAGTTAGTGTCGGTTGCTGTCCTGGGCACGGCATCCTGGCACATGTGGGCACATGTGGGCATGGGCGTCCCTTCTAGAGGATTCCAAATGAAATCTTGGTTTGGGGGGGAGTGGGGGGTTGGAACTTGGGATCTCTCTGCTCGGATGCATGGGTTCAACTATTGTGCAGCAAAGTGCAAAATCCTCAATTCTGCTAGATATCTCTACTCTACGAATTGAATTGTGAATTACTGAACGCGGGCCGGGAACCTTTTTACCTTCCGCTGCTCAAAGCCACAACGTCACATGCGGAAGAGCTTGTTACTATCCATTGTGTGTGCTCTACGTCACATGTCTCACACAGGCGGTCTAAACCACTCACCAAACGCAAAACCCCACTAGTCACAGCCTCTCACTCACCATCCCCCACCACCACCTCTGTCTTCTCCGCCTCTTCCACCCCCGTCTCCCCCGCCGCCGCCTCCTTCTCCGCCCTAATCCTCCCCCTAGCCCTCACCAACGCCTTCCCCAAAAGATTCAGCCCCCACCCACCCCTCCTCCCTTCCCTATCCTCTAACGCGCCCCTCACCGCCCCTCTCCCAATCCCCCACACCGCATCCCTCGGACTCGCCTCCACCAACTCTCTCTCTCCCGTCCCCAACAACACCGTCGGGTCTCCTATAAACTTATAGTAGCTCCCCTCCTCGACTATCCTGCTCCGGTTCGCGACCCACGCGCCCTCGTCGAAGCCCTTCACCGCACGCCCGAGCGACCGCTGCAGTCGCGGGTCAGTGGTCTCCAAGATCTCAGCGGCAATAGCGGGGTCGTTGAAGAGGAGGGCTTTTTGGTGCATCATGAATCTGCGCCCGGGGGTTAGTATACGCGTTGGAGGGTGGGGTGGGGGGATCGAGGGGGGAAGTACTGTTCAGCGGTGTTATACGTGACGGTACCAGTGCCCGTGGGGTCGGGCGCGGTGAACGGCGCTTCGTACCATTGCGAGAAGATGCCGTAAGGAACTTCGTGCGGCTTCCAGAAGAATACTGGGCCGTTGTCGTCGGCGCCGGCGTCGGCGCTGGAAGAAGCGGCGTCGGCGGTGGGGGCAGTGGTTGGTTTGGGTTTTGGGCGGGAGGTGGTGCGGTGTTTTGGTTTTCGGGAGCGGGTGCTGCGGGGCATTGCGGTGGAGGGGTAATGTATGGGGGTTTTTTTCTTTCTTATTCTACGGTACTACGGTGGTGATAGTGATGGTGGGAGTGGAGTGGAGTGGAGTGGAGTCGTGCCTAGGGATTGTGGGTTGGGGATTTGGGGGGTGTTTTTGTATGGATGGATGGATGCGTATGCAGTGAGTCAGGGCCTGCCTGCATGTGAGTCAATTGGCCCCTTGGTGATACGAACGATAGCTGGGATCTGGCGGTATGTTTCTTTGTTTTGTTTCGCCCATAAACCTCGCATCGTGGAAAGCATAGAGCATAGTGAATAGTAGTAAACAGTAGTCGTGCTGAACACTAGCATTGTCAACTAACTAACCAACTAACCAGAAAGAAATAGTAGGTAATAGTAACAAGTCCACAAACGGCCTAGTAATAAAGTAGTATTAGTAGAATAAAAGCCACTAGCTGAAAAATTTAATTTGGGCTCTACTACTAACAGTAACTAATGTCGACAAGTGTTTAAAGGGGGGCTGATGTCATGGCCGGTCATATTATGACCTTGTAGCATGCATAAGTTTCTCAGAACGGTTACAGTTATCAAACGTCTGGGGCATTTCCCACCCTATCTACATGAACCCAACGACGCCCACCGGCGGCCGCGCATGGAGTATAAAAATCACATCATGAATCACAGATCATTTCCTAACTATTCACTTGTATCCTCATCACACACCATCACTCGCCCCACGCGTGACGCGCCAAAAACCAAAGCAAGCAAGCACTATCTATCTCTATTGTCGTAAGCCATGTAGTTTACTGGCGGAGAGAAGGGGAGGGGGGGGGGTATGGGCAGTTGGTTCGGTATACTATTAGCTACACGGGTCCTCTCTCTCATTGATCAAATGTCACATACGCATTTCGCAAAAAGCCAACTCTTCAAAAAAAACAAAGATACCTCACGCCTATCATACGCTCATAACAGTACTAGCAATAGCGAGAACAAAAGAAAACATAACATAAAAGAAGAAAAACAGAGACCACTCCCATGGATGAGGAAAGGGGGTCTATATGGTACAAAGGAAAAAAAAGCTCCACCCAATGATATCTTCAATGCCCCATTATTTCACTACCACCACATCATCAGCACCAATAGCCTTCGTAGAGCGAGAAGAGAGGGGGGGGGGTTAGTAGTTACCAAGAAGTAATCTGCAACCGGCTTCTTCGCCGGCATACCCCTACTATCCTGCGGCGCCGCCTCAAACACCCTATACCTCCTCCCGGGGCCCGGCCTCACCACCGTCGTCCTATCCGTCGCGCTCCACGGCGCCCCACCCCCATTCCGCTCCTCCCCGAGCTCCAAGATCGCCGCGACGTTGCCGCAGCGGTAGCAGTAGTTCGGCGCCGACCACACCGTGACAATCGACGAGTCAAACATCTCCTTGAACCCCTCCATGACGAGCTGGTGCGCGCGCGCAATCAGGCTGAGGTTGTTGATGTGGTTAAAGTGCTTCACGATATCCGCGCCGAAGAGGAATCCCGCGCCACGCGGAGAAAGCCCCCACCCATCGATCTCGTCGGGGTCGCTCCAGAGGAGATCGCACATCGCGCCTTCATGCGGGACCTCCTGCTTGCGGTCCAGGAGGCGGATCTTGTCGACGCTGTCGACGAGGGGCGACAAGCCGCCGTGCACGCACAGCACCGCGCCGTTGTTGACGCCCTTTGTTCCGCCGGAGCTGCCGCTGGCGCCGGAGCCCGGGGGTCCGCCGATGGCGGGGGTGGCCTCGGGGCGCTTCATGCGGCTGATGACCTCGCCGAACTGGCCGACGACCTCGACCTCGATTTCCTCGGTGTCGCTGATGGAGGAGCCGGCGCCGACGACGAGGGCGCCGAGCGCGAGGTAGTCGAAGACTTCGCAGCAGTGGCGCCACACGTTGGCGGAGCCGTACTTGCGCAGGCATTCGTCGTAGAAGCCGTAGACGGTGGTGATCTGGCGGGATTCGTGGTTGCCGCGGATGAGTGTTATTCGGTCGGGGTAGCGGACTTTGAGGCAGAGGAGAAGGAGGAAGGACTCGAGGGAGTAGAAGCCCCGGTCGACGAAGTCTCCTGTTGGGGTTTGCGGTTGTCAATTGCGGGGTGTGTGGGGTGGAGGGGTGGTGGGGTGGTGGTGGGGGGAGGGAGGGAGGGGCATACCCATGAATAGGTAGTTTGTCTCTGGCACATCCCCGCCAACACGGAAGAGTTCCATCAGGTCGTGGAACTGGCCATGGATGTCGCCACAGATGGTGACCGGTGCATCGACGATCTGGACATTTGATTCCTCAATCAGGAGCTCACGGGCCTTGTAGCAGAGCTCTCTGACGGCGGGTTCGGGGATGGGCTTGCAGGCTCGCAGCTGTGAAATGGCACTGGGGGGGTGGGGAGTAGCAGTCGCGTGTCAGTCTCGAGCAGCAAAGAGTGCGGCGGAGGAGGTTCTCTAGTTACTAGTCAAGATCGCTCATCATGGGGAAAGTGTTTAGCTGGTTCCTGCGGGGGGGGCGGGGGGTGTATCGATTCCTTTCCTGCGGTGCGAGCGAATTGGGCGGCGAGGTAGGGAATCGGTGAGGGTTAATGTTTTGGGATGGGTTGCAAATTGGCGATGTCTGATAACAGAACGCTTGGCGCAGCAGTCTAAGTTTGTTAGCAGCACAACAAGCATCCGCGTGTAGGCAACCCTAGCCCTCCCCCGCTATACGCGAACCCCCGCGTAGCCCAGGCCCCAGGCCCCGGGCCCCAGGGTGCAACTGCCTGCCAGTGGAACTGCACACAAGGGCCAGCACGGAGACACAAAGGATGGACGCCCCAGAGGATCGCGATGTCAAGCTGCAGAAGGTGTCTGGGGGTCTCCTGGCCCAGTTCGACGAGCGTCTGCCCCAGCTATTGCAGACCGAAGACGGCGAAGGTGGCCGGAGGAGAAGAAGCACCGTCGACAGCTTGATTAGCCTTGTGAGAGCTCTCTACAACTCTGCCACTTGGGCCCCCAATATCTTTGCTGATTGCTCCATCGCATAGATCGAACCGTTCCAAGAATCTCCACAGCTGCTTGACCCATACCTACAGTCCTATCTCACCCAGCTCACTGAAGTCTTCCTTGCTCAACTACCCAAACAGTCCACTGCCCCCCCGGAATCGCCCTCGGAGGAGGAGAAGACCAGCTTCAACTCACCGCTATCACTCCACGATGGAGTCTCAAAACTGCTGTACACGCTCTGCAAAATCCGCGGGCCCAAGATCATCTCCCGCTTCCTCCCCAACGAGCCCCGTTGGCTGGAGCCATTGTGTGTCTTTGCTACAGCTGAAACCCCCGATCGTTCGTGGGAGCTCCGTTATGTACTTCTATTATGGCTCAGCCATCTACTTCTGACCCCGTTCGACCTCAGCACCATATCAGACCCCTCCATAGCTTCCCCGGCTCTCCCTGAGCAGCTTGATCTACCAAACCTCCCATCCCTCTCCCGGCGATTGTTGGCGCTAGGGATCACCCATCTCTCGTCCCCAGGTAATCGTGAGAGCGACGCCGCATCACTCCTGCTTGACCGCCTATGTCTACGCAAAGATATGCGCGCCCTTGGGCTTCTGTCCGCACTAGTTACCTGGTGTCTTAATTCCTTTAAACCAAGTACCGCTGCCACAACTATGGCTGCCGCCTCAAATACCCTTTTCATGAAGACCGCGATTCTACGTGTTCTTGCTGGTATCCTTGCACAGGGAGACCGCGAAATCGTTTCTGAATTCGCGCCCAGAATCTTCACACTGGCAAAGAAGCTCGAGGCCGTTGACGGCGAGGAGTGGAATTCTGCCAATGTCCGGAGACTGGGGATGAAGATTTACCGCTGGGTAGCTATCCTATCACTCGCGCCTGAGGGAGAGGAGGATGGAGAGGAGGGGGGTAATGTCGTGGAAGATATAGTCGAGCGATTGCTATCCTGTCTTGGTGACAAAGATACTGCTGTCCGCTTTGGAGCGTCTAAGTCCCTCGCAGTCATATCCCGGAAGCTCCCTCCAGACCTTGCGGGAGAGGTTCTGGAGGCTGTTATGGGCATTTACGAGGAAGATGTCTTCTATTACCCAGCACACGGCGAAAACAGGCAAAAGATACTCTCCGCCGTAACAGCAGAGAAGTGGCATGGTGCAACCCTTACACTAGCAACTTTCCTACGACAGCGTGCTGTAAGAAGCACAGACGTACTCGAGAGAGTTGTGCGGAGCATCATTGACTCCCTGCATTTTGAGCAGCGCCGTGCCACTTTTGCACTGGGCGGGAATGTCCGCGATGCAGCTTGTTATGCTGCGTGGAGCTTGGCAAGGTCATATACTACAGACGAGTTGCTTGCCGTGGGTGATATCGATGGGCATGGGAATGTGCAGCAGCTCCTGGCCACGGAATTGGCAGTGGCTGGATGCCTGGACCCACTCGGAAACATTCGAAGAGCCGCTTCTGCAGCATTGCAGGAGCTTATTGGAAGACATCCAAATACTACCATCGAAGGTATTCGTGTCGTGCAGGTTGTAGACTACAACGCTGTGGCTTTGCGGAGAAGGAGTGTGATCACAGTAGCTGAAGAGATTGCATCGCTAGCTGCGGGATACTGGAATGCAATCATGGGCGGTATCGTTGAGGGGTGGAGAGGTGTAGGTAGCAGCGACCTTGACGGCCGAAAATTATCCGGTTTAGGCCTGAGAGAGGTGGTTATAATATCTCTACCCGGTGACGATGAGGAGGCCCGTGGTTTGAGGGCAAGGAAAGTATTAAACTCTCTGGTACACAGAATCAGGACCGAGGGTAAATCCGATGTTGAGATCTGGCACGGAGGCACATGGGCACTCGCGGAGGTTCTAGATGGACTCTCGACCCTTACCTCCACTTCGTCCCTCTTTACACCTTCAGAATCAAAGCTGCTTCTCGAGAACGTATTCGAGAAGCTTGTTGGGAAAGAATTCGTCAACCCCATTCTACGCCCCGAGCTTACTTCCGAAGCTGCATCCCGCCTCGTCTCAGCCCTCTCTTCTAGCTCCCATCTGTTTTCACAGCAGGGCGATATACCCGCCAAAACACTCCGCCTTTGGACTGCGATCATTGAGGCTTCTCTTGATCGCAATGATGACATTGTTCTTGCCCAGGCCGTCCCCGCCACAAAGTTTCTCTTTGGAATCTTGTCCCCTAAAAACCGACAAGCGATCATAGAGACTTGGTGCCGGCGTGCATCTTCTACTGGGAAGAAGAGAGGCTATGTATTAGCACTAGGTGAGGTCATAGGGTTTGTATATAGCACCGATACAGCCTTGAAAGATAAAATCGTAGGGACTCTTGTTTCCGCAGCTGAGAGGGACGGCGAAGTTGAGTTGCGTGTAGCGGGTGTTAGAGCTCTAGGCTGTGGGGTTATCGCCAGGGAAGGTCTGAAGAACGAGGCGGTAGCAAAGGTGGTGCTGAAAGCATTGGATGACTATGAGGTTGACTCGCGAGGAGACGTCGGCTCGTGGGCTAGAGCGGAGGGGATAAAGGCTATATTCGAGAACTGGGGCGGAGAAGGGTGGAATGGTGATGTCAAAGGAGTGCCTGAGTGGGAGATTTTGAAGAGGCTTGTTAGACTGAGTGCGGAACGATTAGATAGGATGCGTGCTCGGGCTTGCGAAGCACTGCTTAAGATCTCTGCCTCTTGGGAGGAGAGTGAGCTAGAGTCGTACCTTGACCGGTAAACACCCCTCCCCCCCCCCCCCTTCCCTCCTTCCTAAGTCTCACTTTGATGGTTTTGAAAGCTAAGACCGCAATAGTCCAAAACTGGCATCCGATCTTGCAGCAAACTCAATATCCTCAAAAGAGTACTTCCAGGGCGTGATGCCGCTCCTCCAGCACCCACGCCTCAAGGTCGAGTTCCTAAAAGGCTACGTAACAGCCGCCGGCGCAGGCTCCGACTCACTGCTCAAGACCTCCCGCTCTGTACTCCTCGAATACCTAACCTCAGTCTCAGCCTCCCCATCATCGTACGTATCGACAATTGTGGAGACAATGCTGCAAGTTCTCGAAGAGAACACCAGCGACCGCATAGTAATCCCCGCACTTGAAGTCATTGCTGCCGTTCTCGAAATGAAGCCTCTCGGCACCCCCGGAACAGGCCCCCAGATCGAGACGACAGAACTGCTGAAACGGCTGTTCGTCATGGTGCAAAAGATCCAATTCAAGTCCGGAAACCCACTCAAACTGTCTGCTGCAGTGAGGGCATACTCGGGGATAATCATGGCAGCGGAGTCTGAAGAGCTTAGGAAGAAGGTGCTCGTGAAGCTGGTGAGTATGCTGCTGCACCCGTTTCCAAAGCTGAGGGAGCTGGTTGCGGAGACGCTGTATATCCACGGGCACTTTCTGGGCAGCGAGGCGATCTGGGGTGCGAGTGGGAGAGGGAAGGAGGAGGTGGTGGAGAAGATCTTGGTGGATGGGGATTGGTTGGGGGGTGTTAAGGAGTTGAGGAAGGGGGTCGGGGTTTTGAAGGGTATTTTGGAAGCGTAGAGAATCTAGATCCTTTTGTTCCGTAGCTAGTTGGTTGTGCATGGGAGATACCGTAAAATGGTTCTTGAATATCATGTCTATTTATTTCCATAGACTCTAGAGGGGTATTCACTTCTAAGAATACGGGCTGCCATTATAGTCCCCTCCACCTATTGAGTGCCTAAAAATAGTGGTCAACAACCGCATACTCCGGAATATTCACGAGGAGAAATCAGCATCAACAACCTACCTTACTATTCGGAATATAGACCGTATACGTATTCAGCTTATAATAAGCTTCTTGGAAAATCATTTGCCTATAAGCGGCATTATAATTTCACGCTGTAGGCACATATTTCAGTAGTGCCTTATATGTCTAGTATGGCGGATGAAATAGATGTAAATTGTGGTAATGATCAAACATGTAACCAACCAACCAACCTATAACTCGATCGAGGTTATGTAAGCTCGTTCCCGCCGTCGATTCTAAGTGTGCTCAAAGATATTGGGTGTAAACGTATAATGTAGTTTAAGAAGATGATTGGTTCTCGCAATATTCCAATGCATGGAAGTCCTTCAATATGAGGGAATAATGATCGCATGTATTCTTGTACAATCTAGAGTATTCGCTCTGGTAATTACGATCATATCTGATCACTCGACATAAAAGCTCCATCTGTCGAGATTGAGGGCAATGCAACATGTAGCACTGGGCTCTCTCTCAGCCAGGTCATTTAAACTACATGTACGTGCTCGTCAAAACTTCCACCTCCACCCATCCGCATCCTTGCCCCACCACCCTCTGTCATCCGTTCACTATTCACGAATATTATCAAACCACCATGCATTTACGCATTCGTCCATCCCCAACAAACCCCGCAACCAAACGTGTGTTTGCAGTCCGAGCCGGTGGGGAGGAGGTCCCGGACCCTGCATCTCAGAGACGTTGGGATAACGAGCAACTATCACAACAAAAAGCTTCCGACCTCGACAATAACTCTCAACACCCCTGCTTTATCCAAAAAATCCCCAAATCAGTCATTTTTCCTCATTCTCCTTCGAATTTCGTAGTCGAATTCATGGACCTCAGCTGCATGTTTGTCTTTATGATTCACGGGGGTGGAGCACAATGGTACTTTAAAAACACGTCTACTGAGACGTATACCGACAAGGGGAGATCCTACTCAGCCCTTCCGCTTGGTTTCGAATTTCATTGGAGTCCTTTCTTCTCAAATAATTTGGTATCGATAACCCAGAGCACCTTCAAAAACCTTGCCGCTCTCTGGGAAGGTCGTCTCAATACAGGGTTGTGTAATGATGCACCTCACCACCGCCACTACATTTTAAAGCTACTCGTGGGACTCACCAAGGATGGAGAGATCCCTCATTTTCGAGAGTTAAAATATACCCTCCACGTGGTCTGCGAAAACACGAAGGTTACAACTCTTTTTGACGGACTCTGCAAGCACAAACTAAACGACTCTTTTTCCATGACCTGGCTCCTGTATTGCCAAAGCGAGGTCGCCGGTTGGTTTATAGGAGCATCGTATACGCACTTCATGGCGAAGCTGCTGCAGCCTCGTATAGAAAACTTAGGTTGGGGTGACGACAATGATGAGGATACCACTCAGGTCTGGGTACTTCCTCTGCCATGTGAAGGTGCATCTTTGGGAAATTGGGTACTTCATGAGGACGTGGAAGCTTCGATGTGGGATGCAGTGTCTTGAGTAACTTGTCAGAATGTCCCATATTCAAATTATGAATGTAAAATTCATTCTTACCTGCTAATAGGTGTCCTTTAGGGTGTACGTATTCAAATTAAGCACCAAACACTTATATTAATATCCAGGCCCTGTCAAAAGAAACTAAAGATCCATTACCTTCTGATTCCATGATATCACACTGAAATGATTCCATGGCTATTGTACATGGGGTGTGTTGCCTCTTTGATACTACGGCAATAATTTGAATTTTGATATAATAGGATGCTCGGGACCGGGGTTTAGTACCTTTATAGGGAGAATACTCTTATAGAGAGTGATGGTGCTGAAAGCCAAAGAAAGGGGGCCTAGAGGTGGCACCCTTATTCCTTTAGCCATCAGGTCAATCCTTAACTAACCAAATTGAGTTCAAATAAACCTAAACTCGTAATTTATGTGTGGATTTATACCAACAGAATGCTCGTGGTAGGGATTTATGAGCCTTTCGGAGCGGAAAGTACCTTATTGGGTTAGGCTGATGGGCTGTGAATCGTCCTGGCGGCCAAAGAGATAGAGAGATTACCTTTATAGGAGATATATATCCTTACAAAGTTTTCGCTTTACTGAGCAAAGGCCCAGAACCTCCTACAGCTCAGATGTCTTGGTTTCGAATGAGAGAAATTGATAATTTAACATATATATCTACTATAGATCTAGATATCTACAGCATTTAACCAATCATGAAGATCAATTCAACTTATCCCCATACAGTGGTTCCCCGGTAAGAAGAGGTCAGTTTCCCTGCATCCTGAACTCTGTGCTCAGGACAGTTATGACCATTTTAAGAGAATCTTTTGGGATATGAATACCGCAACTAATTATAAGAGAGAAAAATAGGGAAAGTCTCCCCTTAAAACAATAGTCTTTCTCATCCCTATAACCGGCCACAAGCCCGCTCAAATTATTAAATAACCGCACGGTACTATACCGTCCTCTACAATTACAAGAAGCGCCATACTTTTACCCGTCAACGCCCGCATCAAGCCACTTCAGAATAGGCAAAGAGAAGCGAGAAACTCTATAGAAAGTCAACAGATCGATCTAAATCAGAGCGCGCCCAATGCGAACCCTTGAGGTTTCTTTGGGAGAGTAGGTGCAAGACCTGTGACCCAATGAGTCGCAGCTAGTGAAATTTGGAGCAAACTATTCATGGGCCACACAATTGGTGTTACAAGCTCTATGGGCTATTTCAGTGAGGCGATTAGATCTTGAATTAAAGCGGCCCTGTTAGGAAAGCCAAGATCAAATCTTGCATGGCAGCTACCCATACGATATAAACAAAAGAGTCACGTCCCAATAGGATGCCAATTCGTATTCATCTAAACCGGCCCGGCGGTATACATTAATTAACCGGCCGGTACCACAAGACCACAAGACTTATGGTTTGGTACAAGCACTCTGGGAACACATAAGTAATAATCACTCGAGATTACTAGCTCGAGTTCAATATAACTATATAACAGGGCATTATTACGTCTCTCTTGGTTATTCGCTGGCGTGTAACGTTTGGTAATATGATTGATGTTTGCCATGCAGTATCACCCCGCCATATCCACATTGTGTATTCCCAAACCTGCTGATCACGAGGAGTAAGGACGGTAACGCGTAGATGGTAAATATATATATATATAGGTGGGCGCCTGAGCATTTAATTAGGATTATCACTCTCGTTTCTGGCATCGAATTATGGGGCGGTAAATGTGTCAAAAATTATTTTACCACCGGTGGTGAAAATAATACCAGTATTTATACCCTATAATGCTAATTTTCATGATAAAAGCACAGACCTTTTGGCCAAAAGGGGCCATATAATGCCAATATATATGAAAATTGTCCACCGGTGGGGAATCTCACCATCGGTGGCGGTATTTCACCACCGGTGGGAAATTTTCATAAGTTTTGGCATTAATGATTGAACATTTACTTATTTAGTATAGCGCAGCATAAAGACCGAAACTCAGTGTTTATACCGGTGGAAATGTACTAATGTAGGATAGCGTGCAGATACAATGACTGAAATTCAGTGCTTATACCACCGGTGGTAAATAATTTACTACCGTTGGTAAAATTACTTTTGACACATTTACCGCTCCATATCGAATAAGGTTGCTTAAAGACTTGATTTTAATATTTGAAACGGGCCATCACAAATTGCAAATGAGGACGTTGCCCTAATCTCGGGAAACGAATATCCCCCAGGGTAACAAACAGCAAGTGTCTCGATTGACACGAAGTCAGGTGAAAACAACATATCGAAGAATCACATGCATAACATAAATAATGTATGTACATGGCCGACCCAATTATTAATTAATCCCAGAAGCCCAATCCTACAAGACTTTAAACCAAACCGTCAGCTCAATCACTCATCAGCCGAAATAGAGTAGAGTACGATACACACAGTAAATCTTATGACCGATCGGATAACCTTAAACTCGTTTTAAAAATAGTAGGCAGCATTCTAAAACTGCATATAACCCCTTCCCATGTGATCCCGGGTGTCACACCTCGGTGTCGCTAACTTCCGACGGGTCTCGCCTGGTCTTAAAGCAGGATAGGCTTCGTCTCAAGGCATGAAGAGTTCGTAAGTACATACATGTAGGTAGTATGTACTGTTTGAAGCTTGTAACATATTAGATGCGGGTCCGGTCAGGGAATCCAATGTGCAAGGGAAGAGTGAAAGGCTGAAAGGCTGAAAGTACATGTATATTAATGTAATATATAACCCAACAAATCGAATTCTATACAGAATGCTTTATATTTATGTACAACAAAGAGCCAATTTCAACTATTAACTGTTGGTAATATCATCTACATATGGCCATGTTAACTTACCTTACCTGGCTCGAAGCTGCTTGGGTAAATTGGCTTAGTCCAAGATAGAATATTACCAACAGTAGCCCAGCAGCCCAGTTGGCCGGGCTAACTTTAATATCGGTCCATTAGACTCCTTGATATACACATGTTGTCATAATCTTATCTAACTACATGTATGTACTGGTACATGCTCGTAAATCAGAAACGCTAGATCTATTCAAAACCTTTGGTAGTTGTGATATTTAAGCCCGCATCAAGTATGATCATGAAGCAGATTTATTTTGGTAGCATTAATTGGCCCACCAAATTTTGAAAGATCTATGGACTTCGTCCAAGTACTAGTAGTCTAACGTTACTAAGTATGCTTTAAAGGTCAAGGTTGAGCTGAGCACGAAGCGTACATATATATTCTACACTTTGGGCGGCCGCTAGGCCCTTTAAACTTTACCATCGAATGAATACGCATGCGCAGATGAGCATGAGCTCGAGGCCAGCGCCCACTTATCAAATCGCGAGTAGAAACCCCCCACAAGGCCAGCTTTGCAATTTGTTGATCTACTAACTTACGTCACTTTCTTTACCAGGCATTATACACCTACATGTACGTATGTCCCCCAGCATGCAGATTCTTATACCAAGAGGATCAACTATACTGTCTCTTTCTGCTGCACCTAGGGCTTCATAATTTTATGTAACTTATAGCAAGCTGGGCCATTTACTCCGGTCGATTCGCCAACCGAAATACCACCTGTCTATCAACGGTGATAGAACGTAATAACTGTTTGTCAATTCTCTAATCACATATAAGAGATGCAACTAGATACTAGTACCGTTACACTGATGGCTTTAATACATGTATGTGAGTGTTTTGATATTCGAATTCGTGATCATGCCAGCCCTTAGTAATCCTCGAATACTGGATCCATAGCTAATGCAGTGAAGTATTGCTAGTTGGTCAAGAACCGGTTCTTGTTAGAGAGGCGTGTGATAGCTGTGTTTCTACAAGCGGGGATGATAATGGTCGGTGATCGGTGTTGGTGGTCGGACCGCTCAGTGAGAGACGACTGTGCGCCATGAGGTACAACAAAAAGCTAGGTGAGTCGAGTTGGTATACCCACTCGTGATGAATAGCCAATGTCAGCGTCAGAAAATTGACCAAAGGCAGTACACCCCCCCGCCACATAACCTCCGTATTCTATCTCTCACTCATCTCCTGACATGCTTCTACAGCCCCCAGGCCCGCTAGGCATCTTTCTATTCATCCAATAGAAACTTCAAGACTTTTGCTCATGGGATCAACTACTTAGTATGGCAAATTGACACAAACCCCTCGCCAAATCAAATATACGTTACATGTACAGCATTACAGTGCAGGAATTTGTCTATGTGAGTCTAAACACGATACATATTTGACTTCATCGTTTAACCTTTCCCCCGACGGGCTCATTTCTCGTTTGGAGGGGGCAGTACACTAACTAATACCGTTTAAATCGCCACAGATTTTAGGGTGTTGAGGTTTTAGAAGGCCTAGAAGTCTCCGAAACCCTCCGAGTGTCTTCTGGATATTCTAGGTTTCTCGGTCTTCCCCTATCTTAGAAGCTTTCTAACGTGGATGCACCTCGACTTCTATAATGGACCCACATAAACCGAAAACCATCTCTCCAGGGTCCAGAGATACAATGCAGTGGCTCCTAGTGCTGTAGAGAAATCGACATCAATTATGGTGTGGGAGCGAGCCCAAGAGTAACCACACGCTAGACTCGAACCCTGAATTGCTGGAAGTTTTCCGCTTTTGGTAGATATTCTGGGCATGCAGCACGATTTGACAATAATAAATATTCATTGCTACAAACATTTAGCAGAATCATAAATTCTTACACAGTGATCAACTAAGGATCCTCTCCTACATGCAAGAGTCAAAGGCCGGAAGACTTTTGTATAATCGAGGAGTGTCCCGGACCAAAATCATGCTTACCAATAGGACTCCAACGGCTCTGTACATGTATCTGCGGAAGATTGTCACATACTAAGAACCCATGTTGCATCCTCCTACTTCATTGGACGTCACTCGGCATATCATGATTCCCTCGCCTTGTGACTTCCACTTATTCTGTGGCTCACACAAACCCAGATCTAGACCGTTACGCGTACGGCTTAACATACCAACTATCATTGATACAGCTAAACCAGAAATGGAGATTCTCACCAGTGTGGGCCCGCCGCCCGCATGTCTCTCTTCAGTCAATCCGTCAATCTTTTCGGGATAAAACAAACCTGGAATTTTATGTGTTTCAGACAGGGATTACGCTTGAGGCTGTGTCTCTTCTTTAATGAAAAAAATAACTTGATCGATATAATAGACGAAGACCCTTTTCATAACAAAATATTTGAGACTTGGATGGAGTTTTTAGTGGGCAAAAATCCCTGGCAACCCTTTTGGCTGTGGTAAATATCTCATAATTATCCGTTGCAAAGAAAGTAGTAATCATCAATTTAAATATAGGTGAATCATGCCTTAGGGGGTAGAAGGGTTGTCCCTAGATCCAGAGTACAGCACACTGTTCCAAGTTAACATAGAGTACTCTACCTCCGCTGTCAGATCACCCAATTGTGCTCAGAAGATTTGAGGGCTTCTACGTCACGTATCTACCAATCGATCTCGAATAGTTCATAGACCGAGATGCTCGCGCGCTTGCGGATCGTACATATGTCTCAACACATGTACATTACATGACTAGCTTTAATTTACATGACTAATCATGATTCCCATTGAAATTGCCAATTCACCAATTTAAGCTTGTGAGGCCTGCAGCTGTATAAGCCCATGGCCACTAAATTTTCCTAGATTCCAATGGTGGAGGTACCATTAAAAAGTCGGGGGGTATTCAATTTATGTGGTCGCCAATCAGTCATGCACCCTAACCCTGAGATCTACAAGCTCCTGAAACCTCTAGAATTTGAAGATATGTTGTAGCAGTACGAGCCCTGACTACCACTATCCATCTTCCTGTGCGTACACTGATTAAATCCTGAACTACAAACACTGCTTTAAAAATCAAATCATAATCCCTCACTCGATTATGCCATATAATAGTGGAAATGATAAGCGAATGGTAGTCCTGCATGACGGCCCTAGTCTTACATGAGAAAGCTTATGTGAGCTATCAGTATTGCATATGCCGTGGTTAGCCTATTAAATGCAGCTATTCGGCATACACCCAAATCCCATCGATCAAAGATCGACAAGTTCCTTTAGAGTTATGTAAAGATCTTACTGAATGATAAAAAAAAATTTAATATTGGATTTTTGTCGATCTTACACCCTCCTATGTACCTACTCGGCCACACATATCGATTTTCTCTGAAATACAGAGAGTTATCTGTCTTTTGCCGCGAGCGGTTCCCCTTCGGGTATGCGCAAGCAGGGTATCTCTGCCAAGATGCATATGTATGTGTTTGCTTTTTCTGACGATCCTCTACACCTGACTGATAGGAGATTGACGTCGGTGAGAAAAGAGAAGCTTAAGAGGTGATGAGAGAAAAATCTTCTTACTCTATTTCCGCCGGAGGTTTTTTCCCTTTTATTTTCCTGCTCTATGCCGCTTGACTCTCCTCCTCTAAAGTTTAACACCACGTCTCCGACCTGCCTGCTGGGTATTACCAGGAGTAATCTGCATTAGTACCGCCGGTACGTCTTCTTTAATACCCACCCTGCCATGTGCTGAAAAAGCTTGGGCTGTGGGATCGTGCGGTATTTACCATCCATTGGTTTATTTCGTCAATGAATTGTCTAGTTAGGAAGTCGGGACCTTTACTCGGCTTGTCAATCAATTGAAAAAAAGTGGTGCGAAATGTCTCTGCATTTGCGTACATTACGTGACATGTGGAACATCCCAATTAAACATATATTCTGCGTGGGGCTATGTTGTTTCGAAACATCCAACTAGGGTACGCATTGTACGTAGGTACGTACCTATCTACCTTCTGTAACAAGTCCCAGGCTCTACTAGTTGTCAATAGGTTTCACCTGAGGCATTTCCTAGGATATCTACGGAATAGAAGCGGAGGATTCGAAAATGGTATGATCCCGTCATGTCAATAGAGATGAGAAACATGATAGAAGAGGGCATGGGTGTGGGGGTACGTATGTGTTTTTTGATACAGATTCTGACTGGACCTGTTGAAACACGACGAGTAGACTCACCCATGGCGCCACCGGCATGTTCTTTTTGTTGTTTGCAAATCAAAAAAATTAGATGGTATTAAAGTTGCGAAATGAACAAGGCAAAGTCGCCATTGGGCCAAATAGGTGGGAATACTATTATATATTACTCAAATATATATATATCCAATGTCGAAACTTATGTGCATGCCGCGGTAAAGTAACGTGCATGGCTTCCATGTCAGCCGGCCTGTAATAGCTGGTAATCAAATAAAGACTTGTTAAGTAATGCAGGAATCACCTTATCCGAATCACAGACAAGGCACATATACATAGATTAGTAGGTACCTATATAATAGGTAGCAATATCTACTACCGACTTTGCATTTGGGCATGCCCAATCATCCATTAGCTGGCTAGGCCGAGCTCTTTATACGTATCGTTCAGGTTCTAGATCGTATCAGCGCGGTTGCTACCCCACGCTACAGATCCCAAAGATTGTGGTAATCGACAGTTGTTTTTTCTTGCTCAGTGGGGGTTAGCGATTGCCCGAAAAAACAACTCGCAGAAATTTATTTAAGACGGCATAAAAGGCTACCATCCACCCCCTGCTTCATCGCGATTGACTCCCATGTCTCAATTTATGGGCCCACAACTGATTGGTACATGTGCGTATGTGGACTGTGACAACTAGAGGGCACTTGCCGAGTACTCCGTGTCACGCTTATTAAAGTTGAATTTGCGATCGACAAATCAAAGTCCAAATTCACCCTCTCGTTTGGCTCTTTTGGGTTATTTCCAAGGGTTAGGGTTATCTGGGCTTCTGGAACAGCCGGTGTCAATACCAAAACCGTATTTGAATAACGACCCTTTCGCATTTAAAGAGATCTACCGGAAGAATAACAAATGGTCCAGCTATCAAGTTAGCTAGCTGAACTACCGTCCCAATGGTTTTACTCGGGTCTTGGATCCTACTAACAGGTAAAACCATTACTCCATATTGATCCACAAAAGGGCCTCTACATACTCCTTTTTTAATTGGCCCCCTTGGGCAGTTTACTGTTCTCCTGTTTTGCACAGGCGTTAAATCAATCATTGCCACTGTTATAGAACGCGGAACTTGGGTACGTACTCAGTCAGCTGCAGGGAAAGCAGAGGCGCACTCCATCCAAGACAATCAATCATTGGTTGCAATGTGGCTGCTTTGGCGCAACAGCCCGTCATCCGGAAGCCCCTAAAAGAGCCCTTCTAGCTAGGAGTAGTAGAGTACCGACGCTCATACTTTCTCACTCGATTGCCACCCACCCTCGAGGTAGAAAACCCATTGCGGGCCCCGGAAGTGTGAACCCGTCCAGGCCGAGACATAGATGTCTCTTCTGTGCTGATGTGCGATCGAGAGGTACCTTCAAATGTGTTTTCGATATGAGACAACTTGTATTGCAGGTTAAGCTTGAAGGGGCTCAAGCCCTAGAGGAACAACCTGCGAAGCATCCGAAAAGGGTAACGGTCCGGCTTTCGAGAGTAGCATACAGGCGCAGCTCATGTGCAGACAAGCTGAAGGATCTGATACGCATAACTACAAGTCATAGTGGCGGCGAATTGTCCAGCACAAGTGAAGAAACCCAAAGTGCTACTAACTCTGGTTGATGATGATGATGATGATGATGATGATGATGATGCTTGAGGCAGGAAGTTAGGTAGTAGATGTTGACGAACACCTCTAGCTCTACACAGCCCGTAACGCAGCCCGCAAACCGATAGACGCGGTATGTTATGAGACCAGCGTGCAAGTACATGTCATCCTTGGGTTACAAGGATTAAAACGTCTGAACAGAAAAGCAAGGCAAACAAGATCATGATAGGCATGTTCGTTCTGGGCGCCCTTTCATACTTCCGTCCAATAGCACGTTGTCGGCCCAGGGCACCACTCGGCGTCTCGTCCAATGAATTCTAAACGTTAAAGGAGATAAAACATCCTAGCTATGGGTCATGTCTTTCACAGTCGCCCCAAAAGAAAAACGCCATGCAAATCACAGTACGTAATCGTAAACCGGCTATGCATGCGGAGCATACATGCCTCTGCGATGCTTTCTTAAAAATTGATGAGGTTCTGATAGGGCAGGAAGAAAGCTAGCGCATGTAACGCCTAGAGTAGTGATGGCTGAATCCGACAAAATATTTGGGTTGCCAAGCCCACACTGCGGTCCAAACATACTGATTGCATGAATACTGGCTAGGTTGTGGGCTATGGGGAAACAGTTCCCTATCTCAAATATTTACTCTACAGAATTTTTTTTTCATCATGCATAGTGCCATAGAGCAGCGAAGTTCAAAGCCACATGCCAGCGAGCGGTTAACTGTTATTTACCATGTGCAACTGCAAGTCAGGTAGCGAGACCTGTCGTGTCGTATCATCTCGCAGACGTGGAATACAAAGCAGGCAGCTGCTGCAGCAGCACGCTAGTGATATCATTGATCATTAATTAACAATCCCGATTGGACTTACTCCGTCGTGTCCAGTGCTTTCCTTATAAGTCCGAATACCCGGGCTATGGCGTAGTCAGTCAATCACTTAGAAAGCCGTGATTTTGATAATGCACAGATCATGAGCTGAGCTCTCAATCAGCTTCTAAACAAAGCTTTGAACAACGTCGAATTATGAAGTAGAATGAGCAGGAGGGTGTATGAGCATTTCTATAGGCAGAGAATAGAGTTTAATTTGCACCTATAAGTAAAAAAGTATGTAAGCTGATATGATCGGTGCTTCTTTGTATGTCTTATATTTGGCCGGGGGACCTTAATAATTGTACGAATTGGTTATTGTACCCGATGCGGAAGGTTTATACAGCAACACTTATACCCCCATGAACGTTGCTACACGCCGCTTTTCCGTCCTTCGGTTCCATATTTTGCTAAACAGAATTAAGTCAGACATACCTATTGATATTGATGTGGTACATGATATGAGTAGGCCCACTTTACTATGAACGCCTAGGATATTGGAACAAGGCGCGGTATGTATGTAGATATCCAAGGTATATCATTCGTGCTATACGGCGTTCTGTCTAGATGCACTTACCGATAATAGATATATCGCTACCCAATATATCATCGTCACTGATCGTACCAGGATGGGGTCTAAATTTTCTACGAAACCGGGGGTAAGTACTTGATGGGTCCGTGCAAGCTTGCTAGGAACCCCAAAATTATTGTTATTACCGGAACTAATAAGCTCCGTGTTATACGTGTCACGGGCCTTGTGACCTTAGATATCAGATACTACTACATAGTATCTATCTAATCCATCCATCCATCCATCATTTGATTGAGATATGGTGTTGATCAAGTAGCATACTGTAGCTGCAGCTGCTGGATGCCTTCTTTTGTAAATCTGGTCGATCCTGACGTTGAATACACCTAAACATTGGCTAGTAGGCCCGGGAGCAAATAATGTTTCTCTTGGCTCAAGCAAGGGATAGAAGAAAGGAAAGTTGTTGAAGAATTAATCTGCAGGCAAATTTCGTTAATTACACTTGAATCTTTTCATATTGCACATCGACCTAGAAAGGTTATGTATGACCTCACACCGGGTTGGTGGGTCGGATGAAACCATCAGTTGGTGTCAAGATGAAGCCACGATAACCAACACCATGTACCTACCAGCTTTCGATCTCTTTCGTCCTTGAGCGTTTATAATGATATTTGCCCCCCGGCTAACCGACCGAAAGGCCGAGTCCCGCGACGGCAAGACACTTACTCTATATGTAAGTAGACGGCCTCGCTAATTCAATGGTTGTTACTGGCTGACTGTGCCCTGATCTTTGGATAATTGCCTAAAACCTGAGTAATATCAACTTATAACAGTACATGTAGCTTACTTTAGCTATGTTATTAACAAGAAAGGTTTTTTTTTTTTTTTTTTTTTTTTTTTTTTTGGGGGGGGGGGGGGGGGGAGTGGCCGGCATGCCTAATATAACTATATGCCATCATGGATTATAACACTAGGTGGCGGTGGGAAGCCCCAATATGGCTCAAAAGGTGTGGTAAGGTCGAATTGTTTATCTCTTTCGTAACAGCCCGGGTTTTGCCAGATATGTGTTTTCCATACGGTACCACAATACCGGTGTTAAGAATACTGCAGCTTTGTTGTCATGCAATGAGTTGCAACTGAAGTATGATACTTGAGGAAGGCAAAAAAGAAGCCTAAAAACAAGGGTGTTCATTTCAACCAATTAATATGCACATGTGGCTACGTGAGACGAATAATAATCGTTACCAGTAAAAGGCTGTTCAAGCTCTTTTTGCCTGGATCAGGCATGCCCTACTATAGGTACAACCATGGTTTTTTTCGCCCGATATTTTTATGATCTCCCTCTCCATAAGTCGACAAAATATGACTTAAAGTATGGGATACCCTCCCCTCCGGACCCATCCCTTTCCTTTTCTTGAATGCATCTCTATAAAGTTCATGCAGTTTTACATCACAAGCGAGGAAGATCAAACCGACACGTTGAAGTTAGGAAAATCTCCGACTCTATTAGGCAGAATGTAAAAGTTCGTCCTCAATGCCAGAGTACACAGGTAGATAGGGCAATCGTATCCAAAGATTCCCAGACTGGTTTGAAGCACGAGGGGGGCCTGCCACCGAGGGGTTGAGTATGGTGGGAGGTTACTCTATTATTCCAAATCTTCGAGCACAGAACTCCCTGTAAAGCCAATATATATCAGGCGTTGTTAAGTATGCCATGATTGCAATCTCATGTGTACACAGGTTTTATCCTTTTGTAACTCCAGCTCCGCCTTCATACATTAGTTAGTATCCTAAGTACTAACAACGCCGCCCAACCCCACACCGTCGGAACTGCGGCGCGAAAAACCAAGGGCCTATCCGAGTAAAGGATTGAGGGTGTTGCACTGTTGTCTCGGTTGAAATCATCATTATCATCATCAGATGTTATGGAAATGTAACTAACGCTTCCATGTTCACCCTCTGATCTGGTGCGTTGGATACGGTAGGTTTTGGAATTTTTTCCCCATTCATGTACGTGTTGCAAAACCTGTTCGTTCATTCATTTCTCTAGTTTATTTATCTTGAGGATCATGCCATAGCCACGTACCACAAGAGGTTTATTGAGAAGGGCTCAGAAACGAGAGATCGACCTCGAGGGAGTCCATGGTCTGGTTTCGTACAGATCTGGTGAATTAGATCGACAGCTTTATCTGCCTAGCTAATAAATTGATGCATTACGATTCTATACCAGCCAGATTGATTAGGTCTCCGATCAATGAAAAACGGCCTCTACGGCCGGGTTTAGTTTTCTTCAGATCTGCAGACTTTCAACTTTCGACCGAGGAGGAGGAGGAAAGCCGTATGTCATATTGTGTCTGTATCCGAGCCAGAGGCTTCTTGGCTAATAACTCAACCGGAGCTCTTTTGTCCTCTTTTTGTGGCACAGACCTTGGATTGCTTGCAAGCTTCAATTGGGGGAGAAGGGGGTTGCAAGCTCCCCATAATTTGTACTCGATATGATTCGTGATATTACTAATATTATAAGCGCAAAAGGGCCGATTGGATCAGCCTATCATATGAGAAAGTGATGGGCAATTGGGGTACACATATCTGTTCTAGCTCAGTTGCAAAAGATCTCACGATCAAACTGTTTTGCTGCGGTATTCTCCAGGACCCAAGATGGTAATTGCCGTTGGGCTGACACGATGGCTGTATTGGCAACGCAGACTTGTGCGGTCACTATGAAATCTGCTCACCTGGCATGAAGGCGAGATTTATTTGAATTTAATTGTTGAGGGATCAGACTCTGGAGCCTGACTGGCATGGGCGAAGAGGGACGGGGGGAGGGGGCGTATTGGGGTGCATACATGTTGTAGGTACATGTAGGTAGCTCATGGTCTGTAACTGAGGTTGAGAACCGTGACCTCAGGATAAGGAGCTAGCTAGTGCATGCCGGTACGAGTTATACACGCCAGTATTAGAGCGGTTTTGCCGTAAGGTTTCCCCGAGGCAAGTGCCTACATGTATTTTATCTTACCTATGACCTAGTAGTGGCGGGGCAAAGATTTCTTAAGAAATTTATGCCTTTACTCGTTTGGATCAATAGGCAATTGCAGACAAGGATTTGATTGATTATGTAGATACTTGGTACATATAATAACCACCACGTATGTGTAGGTACATGTAGGTACTTTATGTATGTAGGCTGAGTATGTTGGACGTACAGTATGTATGTACATAGGATCAAACATGAGTTAAGTACTTGGATGACAATATGCGTAGTAATAGTAATAGTTGGCAACTTGCTAAGCTCCTGGCCCCAGGCATTGCATTGGCCCGGAGGAGTTCAAAGCCTAAGCTGAGCAGACAGCCCCATAATATCATAGGTATCATATGTATGATCCAATACGCCCAGGATTGACCTCACCGAGGAGGCGTACTAGAGCATTGCCTATATTACCGATAGTTATTACATGGCTCC